TATAAGTCGGTACCTTGCCTAGCTCCAAAAGTATAGGGGGGACTACTCCATAAAGATTGGAAACCTGCATGGAGAATAACCAAAAATAATAAAGCCGAGTAATAGAAAATGAACGAGACCATGAACAAAGGCACAAACATATCATGGTTATATAAAGTTTGACCAGTTTAAACAATGGATCATCAGGCAAGTGCTTCAATGCGAATTCTCTCTGGCATGTGTATCTTGGATCTGTCTTGCGCAGCACTCCGTGTCCGAATCCTGGAACAACCTACAGTAACAATTTAAAGAGAAATTAAGATTGAATGAGATCAAGTGTTGAAGCCCGTGAATAATTTTTACCATTTAATTTATTACTAGCGATGACCTCAACTAAGTTGCAGTGACTTGTGACTAATATTTGGCAGGTCATGACTCATGAATCACATATAAGTTGTTAAAACGATTATCAAGGACAGATAAATTCGGGACACAGTTAAAAATACTACCTTGCCACTGTTCAATGTCTTCCAGACATAGTCTTTCAGATTTTCTTTGCTGACATTCTCCCCACACTCATCCACGACAGATTTAATCCATAGCAGGACTTCCTGGGATAACATGAAAAAAAGGAATTCACGTATAAATAAGAAGATATTATTTTCTAATGCAACATAAGTGCTGAACAGGGATTTAATCTGAATTATAACAAAATAGCAAAGGAAGCTTTTATCAGTAAATTAGACAAGGGGGGATTATAAGGGGGTAAGTACATCAATACTAATACTGACAATTAGCAAATGCAAGCTCAGCTAGACCAATGAAAGGACACATTCTGAAGGACAAAACCACAGAAGAAATGGAACCTGATTCGCCAATCCATGAAGTGGACCGGCTAAACCATTTAATGCTGCAGCAAACGAGAGATAAGGATCTGACAGTGCACTGGCGACCTGAGGAAGCACAGGAATAATAAATCGAATGAATTTTATGCGGAAGGAGAATATAAGTTGTCCATGTTTCAGAACAAATTATGTCCAAAAGCCCATGAGTCAACTTGAACAAAATACAACCAACAGCATCACTGGACTCCTAGGGAACAAGTAAAGAGTTGAGTCACTTACAAGATGACCAGTATGTGCACTAACATTTCCACCTTCATGATCACTGCAACAAACAATAGTATCTTTTATATACATAAAGATTATTTGGGAATTTAACTTCGAGAAAATCGTAAATTGTTTATACATATTCGATAGTTTTCCTTTGAATAAATTATCAAAACACACCTGTGTATGGTGACATAAAGTCTCATGAGTTCCAGCATAGCAGGATTATCAAATCCCAACATGTGAGCAAAATTTCCACCATAATCCAGGGAGACATCTGTTGGTATGACTTCTCCATTCTTGTATATCCTTCACAATTTCAGTGAGATGTTACTAAAAAACGATAAACTCATGATATAGGGAAAACTGGTCACTATTTTAAGAGGAAAAATAAAAAAGGATAAGAAGAGAGAGAAGGTAAGAAAGGATTCAGTGTGCTGATCACAGTTCCCAACTTCTTCAAGCAAGCAAAGTTAAAAATCATTAACGAACCTGCGGTAGACATAGGCAGCAACAATTGGAACTTGAGCGATCAAACTAAGGGAATCCTCATATGTTGGTTCCCAGTACCTGAAAGGTCAAACCCGTTCACTTGAATTAAGAATTAAAAAAAAAAAAAAAAAAAAAAAAAAAAGACAAAAAGATATTTTCATGAATGTTCTCGAAAACTAACTTGGACTTGTGGATTCCTTTCTCATAAGCCTTCTGGAATTCACTTTGAACCTTAGGATGCATAACAATAGACATTCAGTAGAAATCAATCAGGAAGCATAAAGAAATTAATCTAAAAGAGACTTCTTAATCATGCAAAACAGCTGTTGCTAAAAAAATTAGGGAAAACAACAATGGAAGAGATGTTCTGAAAGCTTGTTATGTGGGCGATCACTTTATATTATCAACAATAGGATTTGAAAGTTCAATGACAATCTTTCATATCTAGTAGATAACTAGCCACTAGCCAGTTAGCAAGGAACCAACCGTGACAGTTGTTATACCACAAAGACCCGAACCGCTGGACCGCTCCTCTCGAACCGGGTTGCGC